AAACCTCCAATTTTATTGAAGTTGTAAATTGAAATAGCATTCCATATAGAGATTTTTTAAATATTTCATTTTGAATGAATTATTTAAAGATATGAAGTCAAGGGCTTCAATTCCACCCTTTTCAACTTTATTTATTAAACTACTTTTCTTAATGAGATGACTTTTTTTTTCAATATGAAGTTAAAATTTATTTTATTAATGTTAGTAATGACTTGTTTTGGAACGTCAAGAGCAAGGGCTGGGTAAACGAGTCTAGATATTCCTTCAGCTTTGACCAATAATGAACGTCCTAAGAGAGAGATCTCGCTGTAGCCACAGATTAAATCTTTGTTAACCAGTTTAATGATAGGGTGAAAGTTTTCTGTTGATCTTATATTTTGATCTTTAATTATTGTGATTCCAAGATATTTAACTTTATCTTTTATAGGAATGTTGAAAAATGTGCCTTTTAATTGAGATTTAATGGAAAGTGTTTCACATTTATTTAGATTTAGAGTTAAACCGGAAGCTTCGGAAAATGAGTTGATAATTTCAATAGATTTTTTTATTTCGCACTTATTCTTTAAGAAAAGTGCAGTGTCATCAGCGAGTTGAGAGATTACAATATTTTTGTTTGCAACATTAATCCCTGTTTATTTTTTCTTTGATTTTGATAGAAAGAATTTGCATGGCCAGAATAAATAAGTATGGAGATACTGGACATCCTTGCCTGAGACCTCTTTTCAAATCAAATCTTTTAGAGCAGCCATGTGACAATTTTATAGACGCATTGCAATTCCTATGTAACATTTGACAGCTTTTAATGAAGATTTGTTCGTATCCAAATACCTCTAATGCCTTAAACAAAAATGTATGCTCCACTGTGTCAAAGGCTTTAAAAAAATCCAGAAATATATGAATTAAATCTGAATAATCTAGCAAATCCATTATAAGTCTAATATTGTTAGTTATATGTCTACCCGGAATGAATCCAGATTGAGTTTCATCAATCACTTCAAGAGTATTCTTAATTTTTGTAGCAATGCAACCTGCAATAATTTTATAATCATTTTGTAGTAATGTAATTGGTCGCCAATTATCTAGAAGAAGCTTGTCTTTTTGTGGTTTAGGAATCAGTGTAATTAGACCTTGGGTCATTGTAGGTGGAAGTGATCCAGAGTCCAAACTTTCAAGATAAACTTGAAGTAAAATGGCGACAATTGCTCTGAAAACTTTTTATAGAATTCTGCATTGAGACCATCTGTCCCTGGAGATTTATTTAATTTTAATTTATTGATAGACTTTTGAATATCTTCAAGAGTGATCAAAGAATCACAATGGTCTTTATTAATTTTACTGATTTGATGCATATTATTCATCGAGTTAATAAATTGTGTAATAGTTTCATCAGAACACCGTGACTGATACAACTCTTTGAAAAAAGTTTCACAATAAGAAGAGATTTGAACAGGATCTTCAGTTATACTGTTATTAATTTGAAGTTTCATAATACTATTAGACTTTTGGTGCTGTTTTTCTAACCTAAAAAAATAAGAAAAGTTTTTTTCTCCTTCTTCTAACCATTTCTGTCTCGACCTGACGTAGGCTCCTTTAGCTTTAGATGTGTAAATATTGTCCAGGTTCAACTGGAAATGGTTTAATCTAATCTTTTGTTCTTCAGATATATTTTCTGGCAGAACATTATTTAAAGAGATAATTAGGCCCGAGCAGCTAAGCGCTGCGAAGGCCTATTGTTTCTGTACTGTTTCTTATTAGGCCCGAGCAGCTAAGCGCTGCGAAGGCCTATTGTATCTGTACTGTTTATTATTAGGCCCGAGCAGCTAAGCGCTGCGAAGGCCTATTGTTTTCCTACTGTTTCTTATTATTATTATTCTCCCTCCAAATGAATTGGCTTTTTGGGGGCTTTATCATATTCAAAAACTCACCAAACTTGGCGGAGGCCTTAAGCCTGTTTCAAATTTACGTATTTTAAAGTCGTCGCAAAAATTCCACAAAATGGCTCAAATAGCGCCATAGAAATTTTCAAGGGACCCTTTGCTATTCACTTACTTCATCGTAGAGACATGAAATTTGGTACACTTGTAGAGCTCCCCAAGATGCTCAAAATTTACAATTAATGTCATAGTGCAAGTATCACAGGAAGTCAGCCATTTTGGATTGAATGTCAAATTTTCACCCCATTTTTGCCATTTACAGCCTTCGTATTTGATCGAACTCCTCCTAGGGATTTCCATTGATCGGCTTCAAACTCGGTCAGTCTGTTCATAAGGCATGTCCCATCTAAAGTTATCAAAACGGTGAGTTTTTGAGTATGCTGAAGGGGGATTTGCAGGGGTCAAAGTTCACCTACTCGCCATAAAAAAATAAACTGCTATATCTCCTACACAGAAATGCACAGAGGCACCAAAGTTACTGTGATTGATCATCATCGGCTGCCCTACAATACCCTATGGTCGAATGATGACATCACTTAGGCCACGACCCCTGAGAACAGGAAGTG